CGCACCCCTAACCCTTTAGAAAAAAACCCAGGGATGTTCAAACTTGACAGCTTTAAGACTTGTGGACTTGAATGCCCAGAATTCCTCCTCTCACTCTTCATCTTGATGATGTGCGGACAGGCGGGGGCAGGGAGCTGGAATCAGTTCTAAACGGCAGGGTAGATTTGTAGAACCTCTTCTATAGAAGAGGTTAGAACTGGCAGGAACCCACCCCTGGTCGAAGACTACCTATAATGCAAAACTACTCAGAAAGACCCATTAAAATTTACCTGGGACATTTTTCTAAACAAACATAAAGCTGCAACGTCAAACTGGAATTCTAAATTATACAAGAATGTATGTCTCGGAAAGTAATGATTTCCAGTGGGAGGAAACTGAAAGCAATCTGTATTCTCTTCTATTTAGATGGCTACTGTTTTCTGAATAAACTATCCAAACCAGAAATTGGAATTCTTATCAAAATGTTTTCGGGTTCATCTTCATCTGCCCCAGCAAAAAACACTTCTACTGTTGCATTTGATATTCACAATATCTGCCATCGACTAACTAGAAGATCACAGGGATTTTATACCAAAGATGCTGGAACTGTTTATAGGAAAAACATGGGTCTCTTGAGGAACCTAATATGCCAGGTAACAGCTATGGGAATTCTTGCAGTACATCTTATAGCCCAATCTATACCAGGTTTATTGACAACTTCTGCATAGAAACCTAGAATGAATTTCATATGTAGATCATACATTTGAGATTAAGCATGGGTTTAATGCTATTTCCTATACTTGTATGTTTACTAAAAATAGAAGCATGAAGTGATTCTAAAGGAAATATTTTTTTCAGTGATTATTAATGCAATCAAGACTACAGAGTTACCTGGTACTAAAAATTCCAAACAAATCTCTCTCAGTGCATTCCTATATATAGCTACTTAGAAATAAACCTTGTAGAATTAGATGAGATTTATTTTCCGGTAGGCTTGTATAGATGGCAGCTTTATTGACGCTTCTGGAGTTTTTCAAAGCTTCTGTAGTTCAGTCCTATACAATACATCTTTATTTAGAAATGAACCCTACTTTGGTCAATCTAGTTACTTCTACTTAATCATGCATAGGACTGAAGCTAATGTTATATACCGCTATGAGTAAAGGTACCATACTATTGCTTACATTATTAGATATATTATTTATATGAAATATGGTTATAGCATAAACAGGCTCAAAGAAATTGCAAAATCAATTAAAGATTGTATAGTTGCACTTTATATTTGAAATTGGAAAATAGGTATATTATATTCCATCTTTGATGTGATGTAGAAATGATTTTCTTAGTTGCTAGTTTATTTTTGCCATAATTAAGATATGCTTTAATACACCTCAGTTTTTAATTGGAATACTACTTGTATCTATGGAGAAATGAAGAAAGAGAAATATACGGTATATAATTGTTTTAAAAATGTAATAGAGTGCACGGTAAATTTTGTTTTAATTTATAAATCAATATAAATAAATAAATTTAAGGCATTTCTTTAAATATCAAGTGATTTTTTAAAAAGTCAAGATTTCTCTGGTGGGGAGGAATGCCTTCAAGTAAATCTTGAATCCTGGTGACTCTCTGGTCAATACCCCGCAGGTTTCTTGGCAAGAATTTGGAACTGGTTGCCATTTCCTTCCTTCCTAGGGCTGAGAGAGAACGACTGGCCCAAAGTCACCCAGCTACTTTTATCATTCAAATAAGTTCTGTTTATAAATTGCTGGTTTTACAGAAATATCTATTGTGACAGGTAAACACCTATGACAATTATGACATGGTACTAAAAATGATTACCTTTTGCAGCAAGTTACTATGAAGGTAACTGTCATGAATAGTTTAAATAAGTATTTTAAGCCCAATCTTTTTATAACTCGTTATTGTTTATTTCAGGAGACAACAACATTCAAGAATGTTTGGACTATACATTCTTTATCTCCAATTTCTTATCACAGTGGAAAAATTTATCTTGATAATTACCGGCATTGTGTGAGCTGGTAATTATTATCTTTAAAAACCTCCATTTCTTTTTTAGAAAGTATTATAAAGAGATATTTTATCATTTTCTGAGTAATTTTATGAATTTCAGATGATAAAATTCAAACAGTACAATATTAATAATATCTAGATATTCACAGAGACGTAGTGTTTGGGTTAAAATTGGGCGAGGTGGCAATTCTATATAGAGCTAAAGCCTGACTTACCTACTTGGAAAGGTTCTGTTTATTTGATATGACTCATGTCTAGGATTACAGATCTTTGTTTTTAATTTTTTTAGCTTTAGCTTGGGCATTATGTTTTATTATAAACTAGCTGATAACCCGGCGTTGCTCAGGTATTTATAGATGTCAAAGCGTTTGTCTGATAGGAAGCCATTGAGAGGGCCTTTCTTTCCCCTACTCCAGTGGTTCCCAAACTTGGCAACTTTAAGACTTGTGGACTTCAGCTCTGCTGGCTGGAGAATTCTGGGAGTTGAAGTCCACAAGTCTTAAAGTTACCAAGTTTGGGAACCACTGCCCTACTCCCTTGCCTATCATCCCTTCCCTCTCCCTTCCCCTGCCCATGGACTCCTCTTTCCTGCCCTGTCTACGATCCTGGCACTTTGCCCTGAAGCATTTATCTGACAGGGAGCCATGTTTTTAACTTTTTTAGTTTTAGCTTGGGCATTATGTTTTATTATAAATTGCCAAAAGGCCTCAATAGCTAGTGGCATATTACGTTAAATAAAAAGTAACACATTAATAGCCTGGTATTTGTCTCTGGTAAATGCCAAATCAGGTAGCACATGACCAGGGACTTTTTGTTCAAAGTGGCCGTGAGCAGTGATGGAGAGACATGAGAAAGTAGAACTGAACTAATTGCAGTCCTGTGATAAAGTTGAATATTAGTATCACAGAGTGGCAGGGTAAAGATCCTGAATGCTGGCTGTTATGAAGATTTGGTAACAATTTAGAAGAAATAGTTCAGTCGCGGAACTCATCCCCATCAGATGTCATGGTAACTTCCAACGTAGATTGCTTTAAAGGGCAGTTAGTCATATTTGGGAAAGGAATATCGGGCTATATCCTTGTTTCAGAATTCCCAAATACCAATTGCTGTGATGCTAAAATGAGAGATTAAGTGCTCATTTGCAGACTGAGTTTTCTGGATGAATCTGCTTGGGCACCATGGCTCCTTCTCACAGTTTTCTACTTCACAATGGGACTTATTTAGTTTGGTTTAGCATGTTGTTATGCCCATATAAACCTTAATCAGAGATGGGCTGCACTTCACAAGCGGTTTGCTGGTTGTGAGGGTGAGGGTTTGCTGGTTGTGAGGGTGTGCGCGCTAGCTTTGCTTGCATGCGCCCCTTTGAGAGTGAAACGGAGCTTCAAAGAATCAGGTGATCAATTCAGGCAGCTCCGGTGAGTAAAGCAGGGGCGGAGCAAAACTCGGGTGGGCAGCAAGGGTGAAGGGAACCAGCCAGAAAGTTAGTTATAAATGGATAGCTTAGCACAAGAGTGGGTGGGCAGGCCCAGACTGTGATCAAAGCTAAGGGTTCGCCCGAACCCGTGCAACCACACAACAACCCATCTTATGTGATACAGCATGTTAGCCAAGATAGGATTGTTGCCTATTCTAACAGTGTGCTTATGTTCTTAGTAAATAAGCAGGACTGTTTGAATAATAGAAAGGGATATATTTTAATTTCCTCCTCCTTTTGTCTCTGTCAGCATTATACCAAGAACGATTTATCAAATGCCAAGATGTCCTACCTCAGAAAAAATAGAAGATGCTTTATTTTTGGAATGCCCGATGGTAAGATTTTTTTTTTAAAATAGCTCTGCTGAGTATGACAAGTAGTTGATACCCTTGTGTCATAGCCAAAATATGCTCCCTTCCTTTATCTTAGTTACAAGCACAACAAATTCAGTGAATTCTCAGAAGCATCATTTAATGAATGAAAGCAGCATTTTAATATCAAGTTTGGGTTCTCCCTGTTACATGTACTTGCTGTTAGTTGGGGTCAAATATGCGCTATGTGAAAGACGATAGAATAGATAGATAGATAGATAGATAGATAGATAGATAGATAGATAGATAGATAGATAGATAGATAGATAGATAGATAGAT